ATCTTTATGTCTGCACTAAAGAAACCACTAGGACATTTAGCAGAGCTTAAAGGGTCAAGTTGGATTGTGTATCTAGCAACATTGGCATGCTGCAAAGAGCTCCCCTGCTCATTTCATCCTTTTCACGCACTTGTTTTCATTCTCTGAGAGAATTTGCCACACCAAGTTGAAAGAGATATTGTAGGCTGATATACCATAGATTCCCAGAAGGGCATTGCCTTGGTAATGGAGCAAAATCAGGCCACCTACACTTAAAAGCAAGCCTTAAAGGATTAAACGAGCTTGAAGTAATTTAACTGCATCCCAGAAGAAGGTTCAAGCATATTTAAAGGAATACAAAAATATTCAAGTCCAGCAAGATCAAACCTGACACCTAATCAAAAATTACCAGGCAGGCAAAGAAGCCAGGGAATACTATCCATAATAAGGAGAAAAATTAATCAACTGAATTAGGCTCCAATGATGTCATAGATGATATAATTAGTGCATTAGCAGACAAGAAGATTGAAACAGTTATTACAATGATCTTCCACATGTTAGGGGAAAGCTGGAGAATGTTAAGCAGTGACACAGAAGATGTAAAAGCATCTCAAATTGAACTTCTACAGATGAAAACTATGCTTGAACTGAAGAATACACTGAATGAGATTAACAGAGGATTAGACATTGCAGAAGAAAAGATTATTAAACTGGAGGATAGCAATAGAAACTCCCCAAAACAGAAAACAAATACAAAAAAGAAAATGAGCAGAGGGTCAGTAAACTGTGGGGACAATTTCAAGAGCTCAATAATATGTGTAATTGTAATCTCTGAGGAAGTGAAGAGAGAGGGAATATTAGTCTGTTTGGGCTGCCATAATAAAATAACACAGACTTCTCTGCCAAGATAGAGTTTAAAAGAATACCGTACACTGTGTGGCTTAGACAGTAGAAATGTGTTCTCTCAGTTCTGAAGGCTAGAAGTCCAAGATCAAGGTTCCAGCTGATTCAGTTTCTGATGAGGGTCTTCTCAGCTTTAGATGGCCACCTTCTCGTTATGTCCTCACAGGACCCCTTCCTCAGCTCACAGAGAGTCAGCTCCCTGGTGTCACTTCTCATACAGATGCTAATTTTATGGGATTAGGACCCCACCCTTATGACCTCATTTAACCTTAATTACCTTCTAAAGGCCCTATCTCCAAATACAACAAGAGGAGTTAGGGCTTCAACATAACACTTCAGGGGCAGTCACAGTGGTGGAGGGCAGCATCTTATCTTGAGTCCATAATAGAGGAGGTAACCAAAAAAAAATTGAAGATGTAATGGCAGATTTTCCAAATTTGATGAAAACTAAAATATAAACATAGCATGTAACTTCCTTTTTCAAATAAATGTCCTGTAATCTCTCATCTCATTCAGTATAAATCCCAAAATCTTGACTTTGACCAACAATATCTTAACTGTTATGTCCCCTACCCAAATCAGTGACCTCATCTTTCCTCTCTGCTGGTCCTTTAACTGGAGCCACACTTGTCTCTGTGCTCTTCTTGTTCCAGACCATGAAATGCCTGTGCCTCTGTGTCTTTCTTCTGGCTGGAAAATTCTCCTGATATTCACCTTTCTTCTCTCCTTCTTTTCTTCCTTTGACATAACTGTCTCACAAACAGCAATTCCAACTCTGAGTTCATCTGACTGGGCACCTCTTTGTGTATCCCTTAAATTTAATTTCCAGCACTCTGTTTCATAAACACAGCAAGGTGGCATAGGTGATGGTCTGTCCCTACCTGCATCCATTCCTGACGCACCATCCATTTCCTATTCTGTGCCTTAAAGCAATAAAGGATTCAAGATTTCAGCCATTTTTTCTTTTTCTTTTTTAATCTTAAGGTCTGCTTCTACCAGTCATTTGAAAAACATATTGTGACAAGCTTTAATCTCATCACTGGAATTCTTTGTTTGGAAAGTGGGGCTGGTCTGAAAGAGTTTCCCAGCGGAAACTTCCCAAAGGCAGACTGATAAAGAATCAGCTACGGCTGGGCGTGGTGGCTCACGCCTATAATCCTATAATTGGGAGGCTGAGGTGGCAGATTACCCGAGATCAGGAGTTCAAGACTAGCCTGGCCAATATGGTGAAACCCTGTCTCTACTAAAAGTACAAACATTAGCTGGGCTTGTTGGCACACACTTGTAATCCCAGCTACTTGGGAGGCTGAGGCACGAGAATTGCTTGAGCCTGGGAGATGGAGGTTGCAGTGAGCAGAGATCATGCCACTGTACTCCAGCCTGGCCAACAGAGTGTAGTCTCAAAAAAAAAAGAATCAGCTGTGCAGGGCAGGGTGCAGGTAGTTCACACCTGTAATCCCAGAACTTTGGGAGGCCGAGGTGGGAAGATTGCTTGAGCTCAGGAGTTTGAGACTAGTTCAGGCAACATAGTGGGACCTCATCTCTACTAAAAAATACAACTAAATTATTTAGACATAGTGGCATCTGCCTATTGTCCTGGCTACTTGGGAGGCTGAGGTGGGAGGATCGCTTGGGTCCAGGATATCAAGACTGCGTGATTGTGCCACTGCACTCCAGCCTGGGCAACAGAGCATGAGACCACGTCTCAAAAAATAAATAAATAAAAAATTTTTTAAAAAATCAACCATGAGGATGTTTCACCACATTCTGTGACCTTTAGATGCATTACAGTTAGTTTTCTGCAGAAAAGGAGGATATATTCTATAAGGGAACATAAATGTTTCATAGGAAAGGCATGTATCCTGATGCAAATTTATATTCAGACCATGTGATTTTATTTTTACTAGATTAGTGGGTTAGAATAGCTTGGTTAGAACAGCTAGATGAGGTTTTATTTGGGACTTTTAAAACTGAGCAAAAGAAAATAAGATGCCACTCCGAGCTATTTCTAGACACTCCTCTCAATTTTCTTACCTTCCACAAGCACTGCTGCCACAACCTTCTGTCTCAGGGGAAGGGCCTGCTTTATACCTGAGCCAGCCCCTGACCACTGCCTAGGCTTCCTGGAATCTTCCTAGCAGGATTCTGTTTCTGGAAAAGAGGAAGGAGTGAATATCAGTTCTGTAGAATACACCTTTCCTCTCCCCTCCCCTCCCCTCCCCTCCCCTCCCCTCTCCTCTCCTCCCCTCCTCTCTTTCTTTCTTTCTTTCTTTCTTTCTTTCTTTCTTTCTTTCTTTCTTTCTTTCTTTCTTTCTCTCTCTTTCTTTCTTTCTTTCTTTCTTTTTCTTTCTTCTTTTCTTTCTCTCTTTCTCTTCCTTTCTTTTTTCTTTTCTTTGAGACAGGGTTTCACTCTGTCACCCAGGCTAATTGTTTGTATTCTCTTGTGGAAACATGGTTTAGCCAGGTTGCCCAGGCTGGTCTCAAACTCCTGGGCTCAAGCCTCTGCCTAAGCGCTGGCATTACAGGTGTGAGCCACCATGCCCAGCCCCTGGAATAATTTTACTGTCTAAGTCTTGCACTTCATTTCACTTTGCTTGCTTATTTATTTATTTATTTATGAATGAATGAATGAGACAAGGTCTCTCTCTTCCACCCAGGCTGCAGTATGGTGATGCAATCATAGTTTACTGCAACCTCGATCTCCCTGGCTCAAGCAATCCTCCCATCTCAGCTTCCCGGGTAGCTGGGACTACAGGCACGTGCTACTGTGCCTGGCTAATTAAAAAACATTTTTTTTGTAGAAACAGAGGTCTTGATATTTTGCTGAGGTTGGTCTGGATATCCTGGGCTCAAAGATCTTTCCACCTCACCCTTTAATAGCCGGGACTACAGGTGTACCTCAGCAGCGGGCCTCATTTCACTTTGCTTTCCAGGGGCACACCCTTGGCTACTTGCAATGCCCTCAAGCAGCCTTTCCCCAGTCCCTAGAAATAAAGACCCTGTGTCATACACTTCTATACCACCTTGGGCTCCGCCTACTGGGTTCAAGCGATTATCCTGCCTCAGCCTCCCAAGTACCTGGGATTACAGGTGTGCACTGCCAAGCCCAGGAAATTTTTGTATTTTACTTTATAAAGAATGGAGATGGGTTTTCACCAAGTTGGCCAGGCTGGTCTCAAACTACTGGGCTTATGTGATCTGCTGCCTCGGCCTCCAAAAGTGCTGGGATTACAGACGTGAGTCACCACGCCTGGCCCAGAAAAGTATTTTTAAAGTTTTATCAGGAGATGTTACTTTAGAACATTTTAATTTGCAAATGATTTTTGGTTTAATTTTGAGACTTGATTGCACTGCATTGGAATGGGGTGGAAATACAAATATTTCTTACCTGTCGAGGGACTCTTGAGGCTCCCCCTCCCCCGCTTTCTAATCTGTATTGCAAAGGCTGTAAAGACAGTGAAAGGGAGGGCCTGAAATTCAACTGAGAAGGTTCCAAGGAGGGGGTAGTGAAGGAGGAAGGGGGAGGGAGAGGCGGAGGGAAGGAAGTGAGAGGGGATGGGAGGGAATCAGGACAGACCTTTGACCCCTGGAAACTGATTAAGAAGGAAGTGGGATGCTGCTTAGAGAAAGCTGTTGAAGACTCAGTGAGGACCCTGTTTGGACACCTGGAAACTCCTATGGGAGCCTAGTCTTCAAGGGCTGTGGGAGTGAGACACACCCTGCCCCCTGGGGCTTCTACTGGAAAGATATCTGCCTTTGAACTTCCTCATCTCTGTGTGAGCTCTGTTGGAACAGACATGTGGACTGCCTCCCACTCCGCGCCCCATCCCTTCTGACCCCCAGTAGCTGAGGGCTCAGGCACAGTACAGAGAAGGTGGTGGAGTCTGAACAACAGAGAGAGGAGGGAGGACACCCATCACCAGTTGAGTCAACCCAGAAGGCAACCCTCAAGCCCAACTCTCATTCTTTCCTTTGAGTAGCAATTGGAGGAAAGGTTTTGGCAATCAAGCTGGACAACAACTGAAAATCCAATCAGGATAAACTGCTTCAGACATGTGACTGGAAAATGATTGGGTTATAATGGGCTTAAAAGGAATGGGACCTTCTGATCTGGCCTCAGAAAGGACTTTGAAGAGCAAGCGGCATTGTTCGCCTGCAGAAGCAGTGCTGCTGGTCTCTCGACAAATTTCTCTGGGAGGTGGAGACAAGGAAGCTCCAGCTTCGCTTTCCCTCGTGGCCCAGAGTGGAGCATACTGAGCTGCACTGGATCATCTGGATGCACACGCAACTTTAGGAACTGGTGAGCTGAGAAATTTGGTATCTTTCATTTTGCCTCTCTAAAACTAGAGTTGGCAAACTTGTTCTGTGAAGGACTAGATGGTAAATATTTTAGGCATTGCGATTCTCTGCTTCAACTACAGTAGTCTTCCCTTATCCAGGGTTTTGCTTTTCGTGCTTTCAGTTACCTGCGGTTCCAAAATATTAATTGGAAAACTCCAGAATTAGGCAATTCATAAGTTTTAAGTCGCCAGCCCTTCTGAGTAGTGTGATAAGCTCTTGAGTCAGCCCTGCCCTGGGATGGTAATCCTCCCTTTGTCCTGAGTCCCCATGCTGTTGGCTGTTTGCGCTCTCTGTACCTTAGTCACTTAGGAGCCATCGCAGTTACCAGAGTGACTGTCCTGGTGGTATCTCAGTGCTTGTGTTCAATTAACCCTTATGGTACTCAATAATGGCCCCAAAGCACAAGGGTAGCCAGGCTGGTGATTCTAATATGCCAGAGAGAAGCTGTACAGTGCTTCCTTTAAGTGAAAATGGGAAAGTTTTTAATGTAATAAGGAAAGAAAACACAATCATATGCTAAGGTTGCCAAGATCTACAGTACATAAAGATATTTTGTCAGCGAGAGACTGCATTCACATACCTTTAATTTAATTAATTAATTTTTTTGAGATGGAGTTCACTCTTGCTGCCCAGGCTGGAGTGCAGTGGCATGATCTCAGCTCACTGCAACCCCTGCCTCCCGGGTTCAAGTGATTCTTCTGCCTCACTCTCCCAAGTAACTGAGATTACAGATGCTTGCCACTACGCCCAGCTAATTGTTGTATTTTTAGTAGAGACGGGTTTCACCATGTTGGCCAGGCTGGTCTCAAACTCCTGACCTCAGGCAATCCACCCACCTCAGCCTCCCAAATGCTTACAGGCATGAGCCACCACACCCTGCCTCACATACCTTTTATTACAGTAGTATATTGTTATTTTTTTTATTCTTAACCTCTTACTGTGCCTATTTATAAATTAAACTTGATCACATGTGTGTGTATATATATATATAAAAACATAGTATATATTGAATTTGGTTCCATCTGCAGTTTCAGGCATCCACTTTGGGGGTCTTGGAATATATGCCCCAAAGATAAGGGGGGACTACTGTACTCAACTCTTGTCATAAAAGTGCGAAAGCAACCATGGACAACAGCACTAAACAAATGATCATGGCCGTGTTTCACAGCACTTTATGGTGAACACTGACATTTTGAATGTTATATAATTTTCACTTCATAAAATATTCCTTTTTCTGTCTTCTTTTTTTTTTTTTTTTTTTTGAGACAGAGTCTCGCTCTGTCACCCAGGTTGGAGTGCAGTGGTGCGATCTTGGCCACTGCAACCTCCACCTCCCAGGTTCAAGAGATTCTCCTGCCTCAGCCTCCTGAGTAGCTGAGTAGCTGGGATTACAGGCATCTGCTACCATGCCTGGCTAATTTTTGTATTTGTAGTAGAGAAGGGGTTTCACCATGTCGGCCAGGCTGGTCTGGAACTCCTGAGCTCAAGTGATTCATGCCCACCTGGGCCTCCCAAAGTGCTGGGATTACAGGTGTGAGCCACCACGCCCCGCCTCCTTTTGCTTGTTTATTCCCCCAGATTTAAAAATACAAAAGTTTGGCTGGGCGTGGTGGCTCACGCCTGTAATCCAGTACTTTGGGAGGCCGAGGCGGGCGGATCACAAGGTCAGGAGATTGAGACCATCCTGGCTAACATGGTGAAACCCCGTCTCTACTAAAAATACAAAAAATTAGCCAGGCGCGGTGGTGGGCGCCTGTGGTCCCAGCCACTCGGGAGGCCGAGGCAGGAGAATGGCGTGGGCCTGGGAGGCGGAGCTTGCAGTGAGTGGAGATAGCGCCACTGCATTCCAGCCTGGGCGACAGAGCGAGACTCCGTCTCAAAAGAAAAAAAAAAAGAAAAAAAAAATGTAATCTTAATAATAGAAAAAAGTAAGAAAACAATACCTTAGAAATGTAAGAAACATTCTTGACTTCCTGACTGTACAAAACAGGGGAAAGGCCAATTTTCCAATTCCCGTCTTAAACCATTGTTTGCCAAAATATAGTTGATATCCCATTAGTGAACTGTAAAACAAGTTTAGCGGGCTGTCAGCTTATACAAAGAAATAGGGTTTTTCGCTGACTGTAAGATGCCATCAATTATAAAAGTCACCCAGGCTGGATGCAGTGACATGATTATAGCTCACTGTAACCTCAAACTCCTGGGCTTGCAAGGTATATTTTACACCTTGTGTGGTAGGCAGTAATAAATGCTAAGTTGAAAAATAGCATTGAAGGTTAGAACATATGAGTTAAGGAGGTTGTGATTTTTGATACTGTGGTCAGGGAAGCCTTGCAGAGGAGGAACCACTGACGTGAGGCAAATCAGGAGCCCAGATGGGGTTAATCTGGGGAAAGAGGCATGCAAGGCCCGGGAACAACAAAAGTTCTGAAAAAGGAAAAGGTCTGGTATGTTCCAGACTCATGGGGCTCAGGATGGCTGCAGCAGAGGGAGAGGAGTTAGCAAGGGTGATAATGACCTAAGGTTCTATGGGGAAATTTTAAGTTTACTGGTATTTCCTATGGATGAGATGGAAAGTCATTGAAGACTTAAGAGCAAAATATACTTGCTCCCCTGTATATTTTAACAGGGGCACTGGGGCCACCATGGGGAGATCTGACAACTTTTAAGTCTGGCAACTTCTGCAATGATCCAGGGAGAGAACATAGTACCTTCCATCAGGGAGGTGGCAATGGATATAGAAGAGAGTAGTCAGATTCCGGATATCTTTAGAAGATAGAGCAGACTGAGTTTGCTAATTGATTGACTGTGGTGTATGAGAGAAAGTCTGTCAAAGGATGACTCTGAAGTTTGTAGACTGAACAACTGGGTTTACTGAGAAAAGGAACATTACAGGAACAGCAAAGGGTGTGTGTGTGTATGTGTGTGTGTGTGTGTGTGTGTGTTGTAGCTTTTATTGTGTGTGTGATGGGGTCTCATTTGGTTGCCCAGGCTGGAGTGCAGTGCCATGAACATCGCTTTGAAGTCCTGGGCTCAAGTGTTCCTCTTGGCTCAGCCTCCCAAGTAGCTGGGACTACAGGTGTGTACCACTATGCCAAGTTAGTTTTTTTTTTAATTTTTAATTTTTTTTGGTAGAGATGGGGTCTTGCTATGTTGCCCAGGCTTAGAGCAGAATGTTTTTGAGAGAAGTTTTGTTCAAGTTGGCTAGAAACCTTAGACATCTGAGAGAGTACATCTGGGATGAGGAGGAGGTGAGTGAGGCATCTAGAGTGCAAAATTTCGAGGCGAGCACTCTGAGATGTTCCATCTGCACCTCCTGAAATCTTGCTTCCTTTGCCTCACAACTGCAGAAGACCAGGGTAGGAGAGAGAGGTGAATTTGAAATTATGCCATTTAAAATGTTTCAAGCCTTATTTCTGATGTGTAAAAGAGTGATGTTGATAGTTACCTCAGTGTTTTAAGGGAGGGTACAATAAAGTAATGATTTTGTCTTTTGAAATAAATATTGACTATTGTCACATGGTTGCACTTAGGTGGCAATTTGTAAAAAGACAGCTCTGGAAGTTGAAGGGACCAGTGGCTTCAAGCAAAAAGTAAACTGAAAATGGGAGATGTCTTTTTGTGTAAGGAAGTGGAATCACCAAAGAAGAATTTGAGAGAATCCAAAGAAAGCGACAAAGATGATGAAGATCCAGATCTGATCTTTGTTGGGGTGGAACATGTACATAAAGACGCTGAAATTCTCTTTGTCGGGATGATTTCAAATTCAAAACCAGTCGTTTCAAACATTTTGAACAGAGTCACCCCAGGCTCAAATTCAAGAAGAAGAAAAGGCCACTTCCATCAAGATCCTGCTCACGTGTGGCAACCTGCAAATCATGTGACCTCTATGGCAAAAGCCATCAGGCCAGTTTCTCCATCTGAGGGGAGATCTACAGATAGTCCTGTCACTACGATGTCTTCACCTGAATCTGCTTATAAAATGGGCTCACCACACGTTGTTTCTCCCAATTCCTCAGATTCTCTTCCTCCAGGGACTCAGCATCTAGTTGGAGCTATGTTCTCTGGAGGAGGCAGAAGTGAGAGTTCTCCTGATTCCAAGCGACTTTCCACTTCAGATATAAACAGCAGAAATTCCAAAAGGGTTAAACTCAGGGATGAAATCCCAGGGGTACATTCTTTAGCTGTGGTCCCTTCAGATAGCTCTTCTATAATAAGCACAAATACACCCTCACAGGGGGTCTGCAACTCGTCAAACCACGTTCAGAATGGAGCAACATTTCCTTGGGCTGATGCTAACGGAACAGCACATTTCAATCTTAGGAATCCAGAGAGAGCAAATGGGTCTGATGGCCTGGTAATAACAGACATTTCAAGTCTAGCAAGTCAAAAGAAGACCTTTGATCCCAGGAAAGAAATTCCCATCGTGTTACTTAGTGACTTTTACTATGGACAGCATAAAGGAGATGGGCAGCCAGAACAGAAGACTCACACCACCTTTAAATGCCTCAGTTGCGTGAAAGTTCTAAAAAATATTAAGTTTATGAATCACATGAAGCATCATTTGGAGTTTGAGAAGCAGAGGAACGACAGTTGGGAAAACCACACCACCTGCCAGCACTGCCACCGGCAGTTTCCCGCTCCCTTCCAGCTACAGTGTCACATTGACAGTGTGCACATCGCCATGGGGCCCTCTGCTGTCTGTAAGATCTGTGAATTGTCATTCGAAACAGATCAGGTCCTCTTACAACACATGAAGGACCATCATAAGCCTGGCGAAATGCCCTATGTGTGCCAGGTTTGCCATTACAGATCATCGGTCTTTGCTGATGTGGAAACACATTTTAGAACATGCCATGAAAACACAAAGTATTTGCTTTGTCTGTTTTGTCTCAAACTTTTCAAAACTGCGATACCATACATGAATCATTGCTGGAGGCACAGCAGAAGGAGGGTCCTTCGATGTTCCAAGTGCCGACTACAGTTTTTGACGTTGAAGGAGGAAATAGAGCACAAAACCAAGAACCATCAAACATTTAAAAAGCCGGAGCAACTGCAAGGGTTGCCTCGTGAAACGAAAGTTATTATTCAGGCTTCAGCTCAGCCAGGATCAAGTGGTGTGGCTTCCATTATTGTGAGTGACACTGACCCTCCGCCTTCACCTGTAAAAACTAAAACGATGGCTACGAACACTGGAGATTCCAGACTCCCTTGCAGCAAGGATTCTCGCTGAAAATATGTTCGACTCACTTCCAGGAGTTGTGAAAGGCAGAAGTGAGGCTAGGCCATGTGTGCTTTGTGGCTGTAGATGCTAGCAAGCAATGTCATCAACTGTCAGGTTTTATTTACAGTGACATCTCATCAGCTCCCTATCGTCAAGAAGTAGCTCCAAAGTCTTCGTGCCCTTTCCCAGTCAAAGGCTTCCAACAATCCATCCCCTATTCTGATCTCAGAGGTTTTTCTTGTTTATTAACTTTAAATAAATGGAATAACACAAAGATTCTTGTCTTTGGCTTTTTAAAATAAGTGAGATGGCTGGGCGTGATGGTTTACGCCTGTAATCCCATCACTTTGGGAGGCTGAGGCAGGTGGATCACTTGAGGTCAGGAGTTTGAGACCAGGCTGGCCAACATAGTGAAACCCCTTCTCTACATAAAATAGAAAAATTAGCCAAGTGTAGTGGTGGGTGCCTGTAGTTCCAGCTACTCGGGAGGCTGAGGCAGAAGAATCACTTGAACCTGGGTGGGGGAGTTTGCAGTGAGCTGAGATCGTGCCACTGCCCTCCAGTCTGGGTGACAGAGTAAGACTCTGTCTCAAAATAAAGTAAAATAAAATAAGTGAGATGCATTTTTGCTGTGTGTAGCAGTAGCACATTCTTTTTCATTGCTGGGTAGAATTTTGTTGTGTGACTGTGGCAGTTTTATATAAATCTATTTTACTGTTGATGGACTTTGAGGCTGATTCTTCGGCAATTTTGAATAAAGCTGCTACGACCTTGTGCGTGTCTTTTGGTAAGCATGTAATCATTTCTCGTGGGTATGTATGGCTATGAGAAGTGCTGGAACTGCATATATTTAGCTTTCTAGTGTAGATACTGCCAAATACATTTCCAAAGTGGTTGAAACGATTTACATTCCCACCACCGATATTGCGAATTCCATTGCTACTGATCCAGCACTTGGTACTGTCAGTCATTTTAGTAAGTGCCCTTCTCTTGAAATTGTAGTGGTACCTTATTGTGGCTTTAATTTGCATTTCCCTGATGAGTAATGGACCTTGAGATTATATAGTTATCAGCCACTTGAGTATTTTTTTTAAATTAAATGTCTATTCAAATTTTGCCCCCTCTTACCTTTTTAAAAATTGGGCTGTTGACCGGGGAGGGTACGGGAAAAGTGCTGGGGCACTGGAAATGTCCCATATTTGGATCTGAATGGTGGCTTTATGGGTGTACATACGTACATTAAGGCTTATCTTTCCTATGTCTTATTTAAGAAATTGTCGGCCGGGCGCGGTGGCTCACGCCTGTAATCCCAGCACTTTGGGAGGCCGAGGTGGGCGGATCACAAGGTCAGGAGATCGAGACCACGGTGAAACCCTGTCTCTACTAAAAATACAAAAAATTAGCCGGGCGCGGTTGTGGGCGCCTGTAGTCCCAGCTACTCGGGAGGCTGAAGCAGGAGAATGGCGTGAACCCGGGAGGCGGAGCTTGCAGTGAGCCGAGATCGCGCCACTGCACTCCAGCCTGGGCGACAGAGCCAGACTCCGTCTCAAAAAAAAAAAAAAAAAAGAAATTGTCTACCAAGGACATAAAGATATTCCTTCTATGTTTTCTTCTAGAAGCTTTATTGTTTAGATGAGATATCTCAAACTGATTTTTTGTTAATGGTGTGATAAGGCACGAAGACTAATTTTTTCATATGCATACCCCAAATCAATCAGCACCTCCTACTAAAAAGACCACTCGTTCCCTACTGTATTGCAGTGGAAACTGTGTGAACCAGGGATGATTGTATATATGTGTTTCTGTAATCTATTTCATTTCATTTGTCCTGTTCTCTATCCTTGTGCTAAGGCTGCAGTATGTTAATTATTGTAGCTTTGCATAATCCTCCATGTGTTAGTTTCATTTCTCCAACTTTGGCATTCAAAGTTGCATTGGCTATTCCAAATGCTTTACTAATTGAAGTGGCTTTCGTGGGTGTCCTTTGCGTGGTCTCAAACTCAGGTATAGTAGTTTACTTTAATTGTGATGTTAGCTGTGGGGCTCTTTGTAGTTACCCACTGACTGTAGGGGAATCGACTTACAAATCAGTAACAGAAAGATCACTGAAAAAAACCCCAAAGTCCCTCAATTAGGCAATACAGTTCTAAACAGGGCTGGGACTAGGGTGAAGCAAGCAGGGAACCTAAGGTGACAACGTGCCATCCCTGAAGTTGGGGGTGCGTCTCTCCTTAATGCACCCCAGCCTCCTTGCTTATCTCACCCCAGTCCTGGTCCTCATTCTAAATAACCCATAGCTCCTCTAAGAAATTGCAGTGAAAAAAGGAAAATGTTGAATTGAAAGTTATTGAAAACAAGCACAAAATTTATGCAATGGAATTAACACAGTTCCTGGGAATTTGTATTTTTAAATGCATATATTTGGAAAGAAGAAAGGTTCACTAAAGATCTAAGTCAATGCTGTCCATAGATCTTTCTGTGATGATGACAATGCTCTACTTCTGCTCTGTCCAATATGCTACAGGTGACTACTGATCTGTTGAAATGTGGCTAGTGTGACTGAGACACTAAATTTTTAATTTTATTTACTTATGATTAATTTAAAACTAAACCTATTTTTGATTAATTTAAAACTAAAGGAAGAAGAGACAAACCTTCCTTAAAGAAGAGTTGCAAAGTAATTTGCACAGATAATTTTCCCTTAATGAGACCTCATGGCCTTCCTGCGTGTAGGCAAGATTTGGTGACTTACTCCCAAAGAATAGGGTACGAAAGGGGAGAAAAAGTAATTTACAGTGGAGAAACCAGTAGGAAGTCATATTGATAGCATGGATTGCTGATGAGAAATTACGAGAAGGACACATCATGTCTGTGATAGTCTTCTAAAAACCATAACCCCAGTGTAACCACTAGAAAAACATCAAACCTAAATTGAGAGACACTCTGAAAAATACCTGACCTTTACTTCTTAAAATTGTCAAGGTCATGAAAAGCAAGAAAAGTTTAAGAAACTGTCACAGACCAGAGAAGGCTAAGAAGACAAAATGACTAAGTACGAGTCAGTATCCTGCATGGGAATCTGGAACAAAAAGGATGGTGGGAAAAAGTAGCGACATTTGAATAAAGCCTGAATTTTAGTTGATACTAATTTACTGATGGATATTGGAATTGTTATGAAGCCAAAAGAAGATCATTTCACATATATTTATTTTTCATTTTATTATTTTTTGTGATGGAGTCTCACTCTGTTGCCCAGGCTGGAGTGCAGTGGTGCAATCACAGCTCACTGCAACCTCTGCCTCCCAGGTTTAAGCAATTATCGTGCCTCAGCCTCCTGAGTAGCTGGGACGACAAGCACGTGCCACCACATCCAGCTAATTTTTGTATTTTTAGTAGAGACGGGGTTTCACCATGTTGGCCAGGCTGGTCTTGAACTCCTGACCTCAAGTGATCTGCCTGCCTTGGTCTCCAAAAATGCTGGGATTACAGGTGTGAGCCACCGTGCTTGGCTTCATATATACAGTTTAGATATTGCAAATATCTTTACATCTCAGCGTCATATATACATTTTAGATACTTCAAATATCTTCTTTATATCTATGATCTCTTCATTTTGACTAAGGTACACTTCACTGAACAGAAATCTTCAAATGCAAAGGTCAGTAATATTTAAGCCATGTTATTTGATTATAATACAGTTAAAAATATCTTTTAAAAAGCTCAGAGATTTCAAAAATAAATAATTGTAAAAAAACTCACAGATTTCAAAAATAAATAACATACTATACAACCCTTGTGTTAGAATCACTATGTAAAAAGTAAAGTAGAGGTTCCTCTTCAAAGAGAGTTTCCTCCCTGTCGAATTAGGAATAAATAGTCACTTCTCTTAGAAGTAAACTTTATTCAAAGACCTGTGCTAACATTCTTAGATATCTGCTAGCTGTAATAAATAAATTAATGTATTTTGTGTTCTTAGCTCCCACAATGTAGCCTAAATATTTGCCCTGGCATGCTTATACTGGTCCAAGCAAGCATTAGGTCATAGCCTATTCCTCTTCCTTATTTGGAGGTGTTTTTACCTTTCTCAGCATTCCACAAGTTACTTCCCCCTTCCTTTGTTCTCCTCTGCCTTTGCCTCTGTTAGAAAGTTCTAAGTTGTTAGCCAATTGGGACAAACACAGAATGTGAGGTTCCGTTTCAGCCAATGGAAACCGGACACAGCAGCAAGGTGGAAGCGTCAGGTTATAAATAGCCCTGTATCCTTTGTTCAGGGTACTCTTGGCAAAACTGCTGGCGAGTGTACCCTTTCTGCAGAAAGTAAAAATGGCCTTGCTGAGAAAATTAAATTTATGTTCAAGTGCTATTTCTTTCTGGTACTGGGGAAGAAGCACTTCTAACAACTAGGAAAATTAGGACATAACTAATTGAAGGATAATGAAAATATTACCAAGCAGAACTGGTGGGACACAGTTAAACCGGTACTTGAAGGTAAATTTATAGCATTAAATACAAGAGAAAAGAGTTTACAAGCAAATGAGGTAGGCATTTTTCTCCAAAAGTTATAAAGAGGAGTAACAGAGCAAGCCTATGAAGACAGGAAGGAAGGAAATAACAGAGTGGAAGAAATAGATGAAATAGATAAGAAAATAACATTATAGATTAACGAAACCAAAAGTGATTTACTCGCCCTCGCCAAAAAGGGATTGCTAAAATAGACTTTTGGCAGAATTGGTCAATTAAAAAAAAATCAAAACCTGCAAGTAAATTGAGTGGGCAAACTTTATGTAAAGGGCCAGATAGTAAATATTGTAAGCTTTTCATACACGGTCTCTGGCAATTAATCAACTTTGCTGTTGAAGCAGGAAAACAGGCATAAATAATACCTAAAGGAATGGGCATGTTTGTTGTTCCAATACAACTTTATTTATGGACACTGAATTTTGAATTTCACATAATTTTCACATGCCACAAAATATTATTCTCCGTTTTATTGTTTTTTTTTTTTTTTTGAGGCGGAGTCTCGCTCTGTCGCCCAGGCTGGAGTGCAGTGGCGCGATCTCGGCTCACTGCAAGCTCCGCCTCCCGGGTTCCCGCCATTCTCCTGCCTCAGCCTCCCGAGTAGCTGGGACTACAGGCGCCGCCACCACGCCCGGCTAATTTTTTTGTATTTTTAGTGGAGACGGGGTTTCATTGTGTTAGCCAGGATGGTCTCGATCTCCTGACCTCGTGATCCGCCCGTCTCGCCCTCCCAAAGTGCTGGGATTACAGGCGTGAGCCACCGCGCCCGGCCTATTCTCCTTTTTTTAGCCATTAAACAACGTGAAATCTGTTCTTAGCTTGCTGCCAGCTGTACAAAAAGGTGGCAGGCTGGATTCGACTGGCCCCAGATGTTAACTAGAAGAGGACAGATGTAAGGCTCAGTTGTTTCGTCACAATCCCTTAAGCATGGATAGTCAGCAAAGGGACTACACCTGAGAATTATAAACAGCTGGACTTCTGGTGGGCAGACTATCCCCCGCCCCGAGCTCTGGCTGCCTCAGCCTCAGCTCTGGAACCCTGACTGCTTGGATGCCCCTCAGCTCTGGAACCCTGACTGTCTGGAACCCTGATCCAGAACCCAACATCCTTCCAGGGCCTCAGGGGCATTGCTACCGCCCCCCTCCCTCTCAAACTGACCCCGAGTCCAGCAGTCACCACCAGGGGCGTCAGAGCGCGCGCATGCGCCCAGCTTGGAGCCGCGCCGATCTCGCGCCGGCACCTGGCAGCCAATCGCAGGTCTCCACTGGACGCGCGCGGGTGGAGGCGTGCGCGTCGGCGGCGCCGGGGGCCTGAGGAGGCGTAGTCCCCGCCGGCTTTTCCCCGGGAGCGCCTCCGGGGCCGGTGCGTGGCAGGCAGCTCGGGAACAGCAGCTGATCCGGACCGGTAAGGACGGGGGCGTGGCGCGGCTTCAGCGTTCCCTGAAGGGAGACTTGAGGGATTTCCTGGCGAGCCGCAGCCCTGCGGGTCGCGACCCCGCTCCTGGCGGTGCTCTGCCGGAGCGGCCTTTGCAATGCAGCCGCTTTCTGTGGGGAGTGCAAGGCAGAAGCAGGTCCCACGATCCCCTCACGCACACCCCCTTCCCTAATCTCAGCAGGCGCCACTTTCACATCAGCCTTCACTCCCTCACGCAGACGTCCCCACCCCCGGGCTGGGCCCGGGCCTCCCGGAGAAGGGGCCTTTCCTGGCTCCCAGTGCGCTCCCCTCCCCCATCGCCCCCGCGGGGTTTCTTTTGGCGCTCAGTGTATTTAAAAATGAAAACTGCTTTGTAACCCCAGGCCCTCCCCCATTCTGGAGACCTGTAGGCCCAGACCCCTTAAGGCATTTGAATGTATTGGCCTCTTTCCCTGACCGCAGCGTCTCGTCTTATTTACTGCGTGGCCGCCGGGTCTCTTAATGCCGCCCCTGGGACCCTAATGGAGTCCCTCCCGTGAGAGCCAGGACCTGGGGTGATTTGAAGGCTTTTGATTTGGGCAGTTGTCGGGTGGGTTGTTTCCTTTGCTAAGGTGGGGGAGATTGGAGGAACAGATCTGGGAGAAAGGAGTTCAGTTCACTTTTCTGGTTAAGTGTGAGATGATTGATAAACACCCAAATGGCAATGTCAGGTAGGCAGTGGGATCGCAAATATTCTCGTAACATGTAAGTAACTAACGCTTCTCTCTGGTTACCTCAAGGATGTGACCTTCTGCCTGGAATAGCTCAAGTTCTTAAAAGTTGCGTTGTAAACCTGAGGTAAGAAGAGAGAAGTCTGCCTAATAAGGACCAAAGTTGTATCTTTTTTCCTTCAGTTTCGCTCTCTTGCCCGTTCCTGTGCTAAAACATAGCTGTTTAGTGTTTAATATTTTACTAAGGGAATCTGAATGTGTGTGATTAGTTCAGGTCAATTGATGTAGGTAATTCGGGAACCCTCTAAATTGCTTTCTTGAGAAAGGAGAGGGTGATAGTGGCTTTCTTTTACCAGATCTTTTGAAAAAGAAAGTAAGAGCATCATGGATGTTAAGTTATATAAAGCTGACTTCTTTTATCATACCCCCTTTCTCAACAGCTGTATTTCATGAGGTAATTGCCTCAGGAAACTTTCAGAGTTGTCCATATTTGCTATCTCCTGTTCTCATTCTTCTTTAAACCCACTGTTGTCGAGGTCACCAGTGAATTCCACTTTGCTTAATCCATGGCAGGACAGGGGAGGCCATCTGAAGTCATTGCATGCCAGTAGGTGAGATTATAGGTGAATTCTGTGGCCAGCAATTTGTAATTACAGCTCAGTGAGACCCATTGTATTAGTTATCTATTGCCGTGTAACAAATTGTCTCAAAACTTAGTCGTTTAAAAAAATTTTTATTACCTCATAGTTTTTGAAGGTCTGGAATCCAAGAGTGGCTTAGCTGGCTGGTTCTGGCTCAGGGTCTCTCATGAGGTTTCACTCAAACTTTTGGCTGGATTGTCAGTCTGTGCGAGATTGACTTGGGTTGGATCATCTGCCTCTAAGCTCACTCACTGGGCTGTTGGCAAGAGGCCTCAGTTCCTCACTCTGTGGGCCTCTCCGTGGGGCTGTTCATGTCATAGTAGCTGGCTTACTTCAGAGCAAATGATTCAAGAGACCTTGTACCCAAGGTGAAGGGCAGTCTTTATGACTTAGTTTCTGAAGTGGCATACCATCACTTTTTGCTGTATGTGCTTGATCCCACAGACCAACCCTGTTACAATATGGGAGAGGGCTACATCTATGTGAATTCCAGGAAATGGGATTCATTTAGGTCGGTCTTGGAGGATGGCTACCACAGCCATTTATCCACCATTTAACCCTTTTCCATAAGATCTCAAAGCATTGTCCTGTTACTCTGGGTGAGTAATTTGACTTCTTGCTAAGGCCAAAGCCTCTACATGTGCACTTTTTAATTTAAGGATATTATTCTAGCAAGACTTCTCTTTGTCTAGGGTTAAGTGTTCTGTCTCTCCAGATCATTAACATAGCAAACATACTGATTGTACTGTAACCTCACCTTAAAGATCTCGTTTTTGATGCCACATCTCCCATCTGCTTGTTTTATTTTGTATTTGCTTGTCCTTACAGGAAAATTTCTCTAGAGTTGTCCATATTTGCTAACTCCTGTTCTCATTCTTCTTTAAACCCACTGTTGTGGAGGTCACCAGTGAATTCCATTTTGCTTATTAATCCATTGGTCAGTTTTAGTTGATTTTCTTGATTTTATTTGATCTATTGGCAGCATATATTATAGTTGTTCCTTTTCTCCTCCCCTTTGGATTCTGGGATGCTTGTCTTTCTTGATTCTCCTCCCACCGGAATGGCTGTGAATAATTGTTTCTTTTTAATTTCCTTTACCAGCTCCTTCTCATCTCCATGACCTCTAATCAATGGAATGAGCCAGAGCTTAGATCTCAGACCTCTTTCCCTGAGTGATCTCATCCAGTCTTGTGTTTTAAATAATGCTGCATACCGAAGACTTCAAAATTTAAGTACCTACCTCAGAACTTTCCTTGAGCTCTGATCTCATAGATTTACCTGCTCAGCATTACCTCTTATGTGTTGGAGTGCAGTGGCACGATCTCAGTTTGCTGCAGTCTCTGTCTCCGAGTTCAAGCAATTCTCCTGCCTCAGCCTCCCGAGTAGCTGGGACTACAGGCACGTGCCAGCACGCCTGGCTAAGTTTTACATTTTTAGTAGAGATAGGATTTCACCGTGTTGGCCATACTGGTCTCGAACTCCTGACCTCAGTTGATCTGCTCGCCTCGGCCTCCCAAAGTGTTGGGATTACAGGCGTGAGCCACCGCACCTGGCCAAAGCTGAAGAATTTAGAATGGCCTACATGATCTTGGTTTTCCTTTACCACAATCAGCTCATTTTTTATCTCATTTCTAACTTGTCACCCTTTTCATTGGCCCACCTATGTTAGCCTGTTGATCATTCCTTGCATGTGTTAAATGCTCTGGTCTGAGAGCCTTTGTGTTTGCTGTTCCCTTTGCTGGAGTATTCTTCCACAGGTAGCCATATTCATGTTATATGAATATCAACCTGCTTCCATTTCCTACTTCATTTTTCTCCGTAGTGTTCATATAACCATCTTACTTTTGTTAAAAACAATTATTTTCTGACTACCTCTTCTGGAATGTCAGCTCCCTAAAGTGAAGGACTTTGGATCACTGCTGTGTCCCCAGACCAATACATGGCACCTTGTTGGCCCACCAAACTTTTATTGAATGAATGGTCTTAAATACCTCTCAAATACTTGATGCTTCCCCTCCTCCTTTTCTCTCTAGTCATGAGATGATCAGAACTGTGCAGATTCTTGATCATTCCTGTATAATTTCTCTCTTAGTTTTTTGTGGACTGGGATATGTTTTAATTCTACTGATGCAATACATTTTGTAGCTGTAGTTCCGCCAAAATAGCAAACATCAGAACATCAAATGTGTATGTTTGGTCTTATATGATGGTCTTTCTGTAGAGTAACAATTTCTCCCTAATTTCTTAACATCCCTCCCACCAGCTCAGTTCTAATGCAGCAATATTACCTTAGGGTCAAGTTGATATGTGAAAGGAGAATAGTGACTTTCACCTTTTGGCTTTTAACACTTAATGTGGGCACAAGAGTTTTTTTTTTTTTTAAGACGGAGTCTTGCTGTGTCGCCCAGGCTGGAGTGCAGTGGCACTATCTCAGCTCACTGCACTGCACCTCCCAGGTTCAAGGGATTCTCCTGCCTCAGCCTCCTGAGTAACTGGGATTACAGGCGTGCGCCACCATGCTCAGCTAATTTTTTGTATTTTTAGTAGAGATGAGGTTTCACCATGTTGGTCAGGCTGGTCTCGTGAGCCACCTGCCTCGGCCTCCCAAACTGCTGGCCTCGTGAGCCACCTGCCTCGGCCTCCCAAAGTGCTGGAATTACAGGCGTGAGCCACCATGCCCGGCCTGGCACAAACTATTTTAATCTTACTCTTTGTTAGCTTCTTATACCTGTAAACTGCAAGTGTATGTGGGTCCATTCCTTGTTCTTTCCCTTCAGTGTATAAATTAGTCATTTGGATAATACTGAATAATACAATTCTGAGAGTTGAGCTTAAGCATTAGTGTTGTATAAGTTTGAAACAAAATGTGAATGCTCTGCAGAAGTCTTAACTGGGGTTTTTTCCCTGGGAACTTCCCAATCGCAGAGATCCAAGTTACATAGGGAGTGGTGATAGGACCTATCTGGCCTGCATAGAATATGCTCTCACAGCTTCTCACAATCTCTAGATTCCTTATAACTAGGTTGACTATGTAATTCGTCATTTAAACTGAAGGACTTATTAAAGATTGAAGAGTGGCACAATCTGTAATTACACAGAGATAGAAGTTTAAACTGCAACTGTCTTGGTCATACCAGCATATTTGGTAATCCTACATATAATTTATTTGGTCTTCCAAGTCCTTGGTATTGGAGAAGTGTTCACTCTGCAAGGAGATATAACTATTCCATCTTTGGGAATGTATGACTCCCACTACAATTTATAAATTGACCACCTGATACTAGTTTAATTCTTTTTGTTGGCTAGATTAGCTTGCATTGTTCGATTATCCTTGTTACCAATTGAGTCTGCTTAATGGTGCTTTGAAAATTTAGCAGCAGTTGTTGGGAGATGGAGGGTTATACCAGCCTGTTGCTAGGCATTTTTTTTCTTTGAAATATAAATCGTATGCCATAAACTTAACCCTTTGGCATGTGAAATTGAATGGTTTTTAGTATTATATACTTATAAAATTGTACAACCATCAGCAGTATCTAATTCCAAGACATTTCATCAACTCTAAAGAAACCTTGTATCCATTAGCAGTCACTCCCTATATTACTTTTCTGTGGCTGCTATAACAAATTATCACAAACTTGGTGGCATAAAATAACAAAAATTTATTCTCCCTTAGTTCGGGAGGTCAGAAGTCTAAAATAAGTTTCACAAGACCTAAATCAAGATGTTGGCAGGGCTGTGCTCCCCTGGGAAACTCTAGGGGAGTATTCATTCTTTGCATCTTCTAGTTTGTGGATGTGACATTCCTTGGCTCGTGACCATGCCACTCTAATCTTTGCTTCTGTCTTCACCTTTTCCTAGAGTATGTGTGAAATCTCCCTCTGCTTCTCTTACAAGGACACTTGTGATGGCATTTAGGGCCCACCTGTATAGTCCAGGATAATTTTCCCATCTACAAAGATCCTTTTTCCAAATAAGGTAACATTTACAGGTTTAAGGGATTAGGACCTGATATTCTGGGGGCCATTTTTCAAACCTGCTGTATTGCTTTCATTCCTCTTTTCTTTTTTTTTTTTTTTTTTTGAGACGGAGTCTTGCTCTGTAGCCCGGGCTGGAGTGCAGTGGCCGGATCTCAGCTCACTGCAAGCTCCGCCTCCCGGGTTTTAGGCCATTCTCCTGCCTCAGCCTCCGGAGTAGCTGGGACTACAGGCGCCCGCCACCTCGCCCGGCTAGTTTTTTGTATTTTTAGTAGAGACGGGGTTTCACGGTGTTAGCCAGGATGGTCTCGATCTCCTGACCTCGTGATCCGCCCGTCTCGGCCTCCCAAAGTGCTGGGATTACAGGCTTGAGCCACCGCGCCCGGCCTCATTCATCAATTAATTTACATTTGGTTGTTTGCACTTTGTAGCAGCATTATTGCTCTATGTCAGCTAGCTTATGTATATGTTATATTTTCAGTTCTCTTAGGTATATACCTAGGAGTGATACT